GCGTTGACAGTGAAAGAATGAAAAAATGGTTTGTTCAACGTAGCCACAGCTTTAAGCTATGGCTGCTTGTTATATCCCTACTTACCTTCTTTATCTGGCATATCCCATCGATAGACGATCATGGCTCTCCACAACATCCTGTCCCTTGTAACTCTTAATAAACTCTGTATATCTGTTACTTATCCTAAACCCTGTTCTGCCATCCATTTATTCAAGCTCACCAAACATGTTATGCGTTATTTAAGCAATTGGCCCTGGATAAAGGCGTTGGTTAGATCCAATGACTAGACCCAAAGAGTCGTGAGTTCAATACCAGGCTACAGGAGTGGTGAACCAAAATTTGGAGAGTTGAGTTAAAGGGAAATAACTGAGACATCCGGAAGAGGCATGGCGCGTGGAATTAGATCAATTTACCCCCCCCACCCCGGTGGACGAAATAAAGGGTTCGATTCGAAATTCCAATCACCTGAAGATGGCTCTTTTGAACTCTTTCAGGGAGGGAAAGAGAGGACTGGGTCACTCCAATCCAGATATGCTATCTTTGATATGAACTGACTCTTGTAAAGATGTAGCACGGCTGATAGGGTCAGGTACTTTTGGGAGCAGTATAAAGAACCGACCATTTTTAAAGCGTCTTTAACAAAGAATGGCATAATGGATAGCTGGTCAGAATGGTAAATCAAAGAGCCGAGTTCTATTTTTCAGTCGTTTTCGTTATGTTCACACTTACTGGGAAAATAGTAGGAATTTTATCTGGAAAAAAAATCATTGTTATTCCCAAAAAATGTTAATGCAACTTTGCCGTATATGATTGACAATAATACTGTAAGACAATTTTCGCCGCATTGTTTTTTTATTTATATGCGAAATTACCTTGTTATATCTGGATCACACTATTGTTACTTTGATTTAAACATTTTAATAAGCGAACTTCTAGGATCAAAATCTTACGACATCATTCATCCTCGTCAGTGAGAAGCGCAAAAATTTCAACTTGACACCAGAACCTACGTCACACAATTTCATATTTCAAACTTAACGTTAAACTTTCTGTTAACATAATATCAATATTGCCAATAATTCTCACTCAAGCAATATACACTCCTGATCAAAAATTTAAGACCACTTGAAAATTTTTTATAAGAGACTGTTTGTCATGGATACATTATAAACTTTTTCTTACTTAAGGTTACTAATTCTATAATCTAAAAGGTTATGTAGACAAAAAGTTATAATCCAATCAATTTATTCAGAAATGAACATTTTTATAAAATGAGGCGTTTTACACTTGATCAAAATTATAAGACCAGTGGGTATAAATTGTTCGATCTAGGGTGATTCCAATGATTTTCATTCAGTTAGAGATTAGCAATCACTGCGTAAAGGTGTCACCATGCCTAAAGCAAGCAAACTTACCGAAGTTGAACGTGCTTGAATTCTAGATTTCCATAATCAAGGTTTGTCACAGCGGGTGATCACAGCTAAGGTAAATCACAGTAAAACTTTCTAAAGGACAGTGAGTATTATGGAGTATTATGGAAACGCAAAGTCTACTAGTATGTCCAAAAAAATTTCTCATTGAGTAGGAGAATAAGACAGCTTGTTATGAAAGCCAGTGGATTTTATTCTCGTCAAATTAAGGCAGCCACAGATGCTGATTGCAGTCCAGTAACAATCAGACGGCACTTACGACAAAAAGGCATCTCTATCGATAAAAGGCAGGATGTGTGTGTGTGTGTGTGTGTGTGTGTGTGTGTGTGTGTGTGTGTGTGTGTGTGTGTGTGTAACGAATGCACGGCCGAAATGTTCGACGGATTTGCACCAAAATTTACATGCACATGCTCAAGTTAGCGGGAAGGCCAACACCGACGTTGCATTTCCCAACTCCCATCGATAATGGAAATAATTGATCTTTTCATGCTTCTACGGCAGTTTTCATGTAGTTTGCAGCCATTTTCTACTGGCCAGAGTGAGAGCCTATAGCTGGCTGCCACGAATAGGCAGGAAGATTCTATGGGCCAGCGTGAGAGCCAACAGCTGACTGACACGAAAGTTAACTAGCATGCTAGCATGCAAAAAACATCGATAGCTGCATTCGTCACGAGTGGGAAAAATTTAAATCTGCATGGCACTTTACTCCAATTGGCTCATTCTCTTGCTTAAACTCAACGTTGATTCTGATTCCGCAGAACTGGGTTGGGTGTGAAAAAGTATTTGTTGTTAACATTCTTTTTTCATTCGGTTTTTCCAGTTACGAGTACTTTTTTTTAAAGCTGATCGTTTTGTATTCATTTTGTTTAGTTCTTTTTCGTAACAGATTTAATGTTTAGTATAGAGCTTAGAAAAAATTCGCAGTGTGAGATAGGCAAGAAGTAAGGCATGTAGCAACATCAGCACGGCAAAGGGCACTCCTTTAAAGGCAAGGAAGGGCAAAAATATTTTAAGTTAAGTGATAGCGATTGCTGTATGAGTCGTACGATTTTTTAATCAAGCACGGGCAACACCGGGCCATGCTGCTAGTGGTAAATAAAAAGCTCAAACAAATTTCTCGGCTGCTTCCACATCACAAAGTGAACCATTTGAGGTTTGGTCGTGAATACCAAACATGGGACATTGAGAAATGGAAGAAGGTCCTGTTTTCTGATGAGAAAAAATTCAATCTAGATGGTCCTGATGGCTTCCACCAATATTGGCATAACAAAAACATGCCTCCTGAAATTTTCTCCACACGTCATAGTGGTGGAGGGTCCATAATGGTATGGGGTGCCTTTTCTTACAGAGGGACGATGGAGCTCCAGGTGGTGCAGGGTCATCAGACAGTGGCTGGTTATGTTAGCATGCTACAAAAGGCATCATTCGTAATGGAGGGCCATCATTTGTGTGGGGATGGATGGTTATTCCAACAGGATAATGCTGCAATCCACGCTGCATAGCAAACCTTGACCTTTCTACAAGAAAATGGGCTCCTTGAGACATCCTGCATGCTCACCAGACTTGAACCCAATTGAAAAAGTTTGGGGATGGATGGTAAGTGATGTTTATTGAAATGGCAAACAATATTCAACAAAAAATGAACTTTGTGAAGCTATCATCAGAAGCTGGAGCAATATTCATCGCAGCTTAATGGAAACACTAATTTCTAGCATGCCCCAAAGAATTTTTGAAGTCATCAAAACCAGTGGAGGTAGAACTCATTATTAAATTTGGTTGTTGAATGTTTTCGTACACTTTTCCTAAAATTTCCTAGAATTTTCGTCTCTGGTCTTATAATTTGATCAAGTGTAAAACGCCTCATTTTAGAAAAATGTCGGATTAAAATTTTTTGTCTACATAACCTTTTAGATTATAAAATAAGTAACCTTAAGTAAGAAATTTTTAAAATTTTTCCCTGAAAAACAGTATTTTAAAAAAAATTTCAAGTGGTCTTAAATCTTTGATCAGGTGTGTATATTATTTCAAATAAACTTGCAACTTGAATACGCAACCAACTTCAATATAAAAGGAAAGATAACCGTTCCAAACTCTCAGTAAGTCTTTTGAAATTTACATAAATTAGTTGCAAGCATAAACTGTTTTAAATTCACTATTGCCTATTACTCCAAAAGAGACATTCAAGATAAGGTTATCGAAAAAAATGCGTCGAAATTGTCTTACGGCAAAAATCCTATAGGGCGAAGTTTCCTAAGGCGAAAATGTTTACGGCGAATGCTCCGGATATGATGAGTTACACTTGAGGTCTGAGGTGAACCTGAGTCTCAACAGACGCTCGAAGCAAGAAAACTCTTTTTAAGAGTGCAGCCATTCATTATAGATTATTATTATGTCTAAAAAGCCACAAGTTTTCTTGGAGTAGTTACCTGTTACCTTCTTCACGATGATTTATTGAGACACCACCTCTAGTTAGCTGGCCGTTGAATCGTCAAATGTTTTTTCCGGCCTTTGATAGGTTTCATTTTCTTCATCCCACGAGGTTGCTAAGTGGGCACTGAGGTCAACTCGACAGTCAATGCAATCTTCAGGCCATGTGTGCTGTATTTTGTTGGCCAGTGGTGCATTATGGGTAGTAAGGTCTATTGTATTATCTTTACAGTAAACAGTAATGGTTATGCTTCAAATTATCCTATAGGCTATTGAGTAGAAATAATCGTGGATCCGAATACAGTTATTTCCATAATTATAATGCTGTTGGTTAGCTTTTTCATCATTATTTACTTATTTAGTCGTTGTTGATTATTATTATTATTAAATTTATTTTTGTTTGTGGGTTCATTCGTAGTTTTTTAATTATTTACTTAATTTTTTTACTTAGTTTTTTGTTTATTTTATTTTATTTTGTTTTGTTTTTGGAAAGTTGGTTATCTCATTTGTTTAGTTTAGGCATCCACTAAAGTATGTTATATTATCTGAGATGTATATAGTGTATATATTTGCATTTTCTATGGTAGCATTTTATAAGGTATTCGTTTTTAGTTTACGATTTTTAAGTAACGTAATAAAAGTTCGTTTCCCTGTCTGCATTTGGAAATGAGTTCCGATCGTTTATTTAACAAAGTGTTTTTCTGGGATGGTGATTATCGCTATTGACAAAATTTACAGGTGTTTTTTTTTTATTATTATTTATTGTTGTAAGCTGATGCTGTTTTCCTTCTATCCTATGATGAACATTTCAATACAGCTCTTAAGTGTACTTTAGGAACAAAGAAAACAATGCTGAATTCTTATGTAATACCTATACGGAAGAGAATGCTAGAGAATCTCCTCACAGATGAAGAAGAAACTTGAGGTTACAGAAATGATTCTACAAGACGTCCTATGTAAAATAGAAACAAAAGGACATTTATACTTAGAATCAGAAAAACAGCTGAAATTTATAAGATACATAATTATTGGACTCGAGAAACTTGTCACTCACAGGACACACTGAAGACAAGACGAATAGAGAAAAGTAGGGAATGAACCTAACTAACGAGCTTATATTGACAGAACAGGGATAAGGAGGCTTGCGGCGACATCAGGTTGAAACACCCGTTCCCGTACGATAGAAGTTAAGCAACGTAGAACCTGGTCAGTACCTAGATGGGTGACCGCTTTGGCATACCAGGTGCTGTAACCTTGGATGTACAGGTTGTGTAATGGATAACGGCTCGGAATTGAAGAGTCGAGTTTTAATTCCCGTTGGGTTTGTTATATTCTCTTACGCGCAAATACTACTGGGGAAGGTATGGATCCAGTTTTACTCCCTCCGCTATGGGTTAATTAGTAAGACTTGTATCACTAAAACCGATACTATCTCATAATCTAAGAATATTATCTGGATTTAAATAAGCTGCAAAGAGTTGACAAGCCGTAGAAAACGAATCAATCAGAATCAGGGATTAGAAGAAACAGCAAAAAGATAAACATTACTAAAATATATAAAAGACAGGACGCTGTGGAGAGCCTTGATCCCCACCTTCCTGAAGGGATGCAGCACGTAAAAGACGATTACGAATATTAAATAATACATCTATCTATCTATCTATTTATCTCAGTCTGTTCATATCTATCTATCTATCTATCTATCTATCTATCTATCTATCTCAGACTGTTCATATCTATCTATCTATCTCAGTTTGTTCATATCTGTCTGTTCATATCTGTCTGTCTGTTCTATCTATCTATCTATCTATCTATATATATATATATATATATATATATATATATATATATATATATATATATATCCTGCACACAACTACACACAGACGGACATATCTTGGTAGCATAATATGAACAGGCTACTGATTTCGAAAACGTCCGTCTTCTAGAATAGCTAACGAATGCCTGCTGCAAAAATCTGTTCACGCACATTTCGGCTTTAAAAAATCCACAAGGGTTGTTAAACCGTAAAAAAATCAATCATAACTAAATTGCTGAGTAATTTAAATAAGGCGTTTTTTGTACTGAAAGTAGTAACAAACTTAGGATGTGTATCGCAGCTTGGAAGTAAAGGGAAGTAAACACTGTCGACACTTTAAATTGTTTATTTTGGTAATCTAACACTGATAATTTTATGAGTTTTTTTACGGTTTATCAACCTTTTGGCTTATTTAAAACAAAATATATTTTAAATTGTTAGAATAATTCTTTTTTATGGCTGAATATTGCATTAACAATATTGTGGGGATAACAATGAGTTTTCCAGATACAAGTCCTACTATTGAACCCATAGTTAGCGGGATGACGGATACATAACTTTTCAAAGGCTATTTGCGCATAAGTGGATGTAACGAACGCCATTGTAATTCGATCTGGGCTCTCCGATTTCTTATTTCGAGTTGCTATCCATTACACCACCCGTACATCCACTTTCGTCATAAAAATACCAGTAAAACAATTACTAGTTTATAAATATCCCAAAAGACCAGTCTGGGAATGAGTAACAAAACACTTTTATTATTTATTTATTTATATATTTATATATTTATTTTTGCGTGTTAAAATGAATACGAAACTCAAGCAAGAAATCGAGTCAAAATAGAAAACACATGCCGGTCATTGTAAATTTAAACCTGCATTTTTCGACAAGTATACTATTAAGCTTAGTCTAAAGGTGGAGTCCTCTCCCAGGCAATACTTCTCCCAAGAGGGATGGCTAAGGTTAATCCTTGGCGCCTGGGGCGTGTCCATGAGGGAGAAATGTCGCAGATGCTGAGCAAGTTTTATCTATAGTTTCATGTAAATGAAATGTTTCACTTTGTCTCATTTCGTTTTAAACACGGCTTTGTGCGCTCAGTCAGTTATGTGCCATACGTGATACACGCTTAGGCGGTCATGTATCTTTCGATACATGACTGACGAGGCAGATTTTTTTTCCCGCAGTACGTCGCCATTTCTTTCTGCGGTAGACCATTTGCCATCCAAGGCTATAGAACCCGGTCTGTCCTGCTATTTACCCATAGCTGGGTGGGGAGAGAAGAGGAGGGTTCATACCTTTCCCAAGGGTATTAGCACATAAATAAATGTAATGGATTCGACCGGAATTCGAACTCGGCTCCGTTCTAATGAGAGAACAGATAAATGCCAATCCGCATTTTATTTTTAATCTTTTCACCCCACGGAAGGCAATAATACCACAAGGACGCAGGTTGGGATTACGGGGAGTGAAAGGAAATGAGAAGACATTAGTTAGAAGTGGGGAAAAGGTCAATAAAGAATCAGGTTCTGTAAGCTTGAATGTACAGGTTTTGTAATGGATAATGGCTCGGAATTGTTCATTGAAGAGAGGGTTTCAATCCCCGTTGGGTTTGTTATATTCACTTAAGCGCGAATACCTTTAAGGAAGGTATGAACAGATTTCTTCCCCCAGCTATGGATTAATTAGTAAGACCGTTAATCACTTTCCCCCAACTATGGATTAATTAGTAAGACCGTTAATCACTAAAACTGTTATCTCAAAAATATCTTTATAATCTATATTATCTGGCTTTAAATAACCTGCAAAGGGTTGATAAGCCGTAAAAAACGAATCAATCAGAATCAGGGATTAGAATAGATAGCAAAAAGACAAACATTACTAAAATCTATAAAGGAGAGTAGATGAAGATTGACGGTGCATTTAAATCTTTGATGATTGTAGGTGACAGGGAAGCCAGAAATAGGAAGAGAGTTCCACAGGCGAGAAGTGCGAGAAAAGAAACTAGGTAAGTTCTGTAGTAAACCTAATTTCTAAGGAGAAAATCTCATCAGAAAAAAAAAATAACGCCATGAAATTGTTGAAAAGATTCCATGTCACGTCGGTGCGAAAGTGATTGAAGTCGAGATACCACACCAGGATCGATTACATTCCAGACCCTTCTTTGAATTTTGTCAAGAATCTCGAGATCTATATACAGTAGGGACATCAGACCAAATATGCCTGCCGAGTATTCAATGCACCGACGAATGGCAGATTTATAAATGTGTAAGAGGGATTCTGACAGGAAGAATTATCTGACAATGCCACAGAGAACCAACTTTCGGAACAGCAGAGCTTGCAATTTATTCAATATAATTACTCTGCTTCATGTCAGTGGAAGACTGGAGCCCAGGGAGGCACAATGTGTTGCTCTCCTGGGGGTTTAGCATTTAAATGCGGGTTTTATGCTCATTCGCTTCAGGCAGCAAATTCATCCAATATGACTAAAATGATAAGAATCAGATTTAACACCTGTCACCTGAGGCTTTCTAACGGTGAAGGGCCAAAAGAGCTGAATAATAGATACCGTGTATACTCAAGTACAAGGCGAGTTTTTATGATTTAGATTTTTACGCAAAAAAATAGTGGGTCGCACTATGCATAGATAACTTTTTAAAAGGTTAAAATTCATGCATTCTCAGTAACCGGTTACACTATACACGGGTAAGTTTTTTTCTGCAAAAAATTCAGAGGTCGCACTATACATAAAATTGGATATATGCGATAAATACTAACACATTTTTTAATACAGGTTCACAATTATTATATTGAGCACCTGGGGGACATCCCCGGGCAGCACCTCTCCCTGTGCAGTGAGAGTGGTGGGGTTTCATTATCATTCATCAGTGCCTTAGGCGTCCCATTAGGAATGTGCCAAAGCAATTATGTTGCAAATCATTGATACACGGGGTAATCTCAATTTAAACCCAACTTTTGCTATATCTCCTTACAGTGAGTCTGCGCTTAATTCCAAACCGCGATCCTTTTTTATACTAATGATTACCCAATACAAGCCCCAAGAGCCACTCAATGTAGAAGGTTACTGTGTTGTGTTGTTTGAGCGTAAGAAAGGGCAAAACGTTCATGGGGATAGATAGGAAATATATCGGTTAACCTTAGATTGGAGGAGGTCAAGGTTGTACTATTAAGTTCAGCTACTGCGGGGGAGGGGCATCCGTGCAGATGGTATCGCCCTCATTGCATTTAGAGTAGGGGAGTCAGAGTTAGGTTTGGGGGTATTCAGATGGGGTAGTTCTGAGGAAGCTGACTTTTCTTTTTTTTTATTTTAAGCCCTATCTACGCATGTAACCACCACTTTAGGATCGGCCATTTTGTTATATCCCCCCCTCGTGTGCATCGTACGCCCACGCGAACGAGATAAATACCACAAGAAAATCGCATTTATCTGATGAAGCACTGATTTGCACACACACCCACGTACACACACACACACACACACACAGAAAACACCCACCCACCCACTCACATACACACAAAACACACACCCACCCACATACACACAAAACACACACACACAAAGCACACATACACGCACGCACGGGCATTAAGCAAAATTTATATACACTATAAGCCAAAAGTTTTGTTTGGTCTGGTTTATTTTGTTTTACGGCATATCAACCTCAATGGGTTATTTAATGCCGACAAGATTTTTATTGCTGCTCGTACTTTTTAAAAAATGTATTGCTGCTAATATTTTTTTTTTCAAAAAATGTATTGATGTTAATAATATATTGTTGGTAATAATTTTATCATCAAAAATTCATTGGTGGTAATAAACTTTTCCCAAAATATATTGCTGGTATTAAAGCCTATTTTTACACTTTCACAGTTTGAGGGTCAACTATTTGCCCATAGCTGGAACCCTAACAGATGCTACCAGGGTGGACCAGGAAACACCAGCAATTAAGAGGTGGTTCCACGCTCCTCAAAACCTCCTGATCAAAAGCCTTGCTGTTGGATGTAGTTTATCGTCTTACCCAAGGAGCTTGGCCTAAAGTTTGTAACCACACTCAGGATTTCGACGACGGTTTCGTACCTTTTTCAAAACTAATTTACTATATATATATATATATATATATATATATATATATATATATATGTAAGCAAATATATGGATATAGATCCGACAGTATGAAGAAAAATATATACGGAAAAACAAACAAAAATCCTAATATGCAATTATGCTGTTTAATGACATTATATTAACATTAAAACAGCATAATTGCATATTAGAATTTTGTTTGTTTTTTCCGGATATTTTTTTTTATATATATATATATATATATATATATATATATATATATATATATATATATATATATATATGTATGTATGTATGTGTGTGAGAGAGAGAGAATGTATTTAGGCAGCTA